TATGAAGCTTCAAACTGCTGTGTCCTGAATGTAGACTTCTTATTCAGGAGATCTGGGTAGAGGCTACAGATACATCTTACTAATAAGTTCTTTTTTATTTTTATTTTAATTTTTTATAACTTATTCATTATATATCCCAATTGCAATCCCCTCCCTCAACTCTTCCCAGTTCCATCCTACCCTCTTTCCCTCTATCCCCTTCCCCTAGTCCACTGAAAGGGGGAGGTTTCCTTCCCTGCCATCTGGCCATAGCTTATCAGGTCTCACCAGGACTGCCTGGATCCTCTTACTCTGTGGCCTGGTAAGGCCGCATTGCCAGGGGCAAGTGATTAAAGAGCAGGCGACTGAGTTCATGACAGAGGCTCCCCTTACTCGAAAATCCACATCCAACTCTGTGGAGCTTCGGAGCATTTTTCATTTTTTGCCCCTGCCTTTTTTCCATGAGCCCTTTGTCTCCTAATAAATTCTTAATTGCTAGTGGTCCTTGATAATGTTTTAACAATTGATCCAGTACTATGGAGCTAAATCATTTGATGCAAGACTGCATATGTAAATTTGAGTTCCTAGCTCTGGTATAACAATGCAGGCATTGTTATTGTTATTGCTCTAATCCCAGCCTTAGGAGGAAAGACAGGTGGATACAGAGGGCTCTCTGACCACCAAGACTACCTAAAGTGAGGAGCTTTCATTCACTAAGAGGAAAAGGCTTTACAATGGAGAACAACAGAGGTAGACACCGGATATCCTAGCATGCACATTTGCACAAACACACACACATCCTCAGAAGCACACGTACATACACACACATACGCTTGCAAACAGACTGTTTCTCAAATAACTCATTTCACAATCATTAGATAGCTAATTCTAGGCAAAGTTAATTCTTATTAAAATGAGTGAATAAGTAATATGCACTGTAAAATCAGAATTAACTCAATATTAATAAACTGCAATAAATATCCACAGGACTTTGGATCAGATAACAAGGAATCATTTAACTGAATGTCATCTTAAGTTAATAACCTGCAATACATAAAAACTGACTTTTAAGAGGAAATGTAACTTTATTCAGGCAAGACAGTGTGCATAATGAAATATTTTATGCATAATGCTAATTTTTAGCTAAGTGACAATTTTCCATCCAGTAAACCGGCAGAGAGCAGATATTTTCTTAAGCATGTAGGTTTCACATGCAGGCACAGATTTTCTTTAGCAAGTCATGTCCTTCTTTTCATGGTGCGTTTCACATGCCTGCTGTGCATGGCAAGGAATAAGCCATGCAAAATGTGTTCTGCTTCAAGTTTCAAAGGTCTGAGCAGTTGGGCCCCAGTATATTATTGAATCAAAGAAGAGAGGACAAAAAAACAGAAAAAGGAAGGCACTGTTCTGCCAGCACTAAACACACATCTGTGGATGCATGCTTGTGTTTGTAAGAGTCATCCATCAGTCTTGACACTCGACACTTTGATTATTGATTCTAATGTTGGATATTTACAGGAATCACTGGACTGCAGTGATTACACATATTTTGTGGACTATATTCCACAAAATAACCACTTTTTAAAAAAAATTAAAAGACACAGAAAAAATATAATGTAAATGAGCACCCCAAAACAAAGAGGCTCTCCACAGCACAAGCTCTCCATGAGCCCAATGTTTGAGAACTAGAGAATGCTGAGTGTCTGGCTTAATTGCCAAAAGTCCATCAGTGGAGGCTAGATTTGCATCTCTCATAAAGAAGCTAAAATCAGGATTATCCCACAGAAGTTCATACCTAAACATTGTGTCATATGTCCCACTTCTTTTTGCCAAAGGACTTTTCCAGAAATATAGACAGGTCAGAAGCTAGCGTCCTGCATGCATTGTCTTGCATAAGAGTTCGAAGTCAATGAAACCATTTCACATCAACAGACTGGGGTACGAAGCAGAATGAATCCCAAACTCCTTGGAAGGAGGCTACTAGAGCACAACACGTTTGAAATCTCCATTGAAATTTAATGAATTTTTTCAACTAGTTACTTGGCTTTATTTATACACAATGGAGGTGAAGAGTTGACACATATAATCAAAATGTTGTGTCAGGTTGCTTCAGAATTTTGGGCGCAGATATGCAAATTTTCAGTCTTCAAACACTCCAGGCGGGCTTTTAAAAATTAATAAATAGTATAGTCATTTAATGAAGAAATTTTTGTGACAATTAAGTTTTGTGAACTTAAGTTCGGGGAAATGATTTATAAAAATGAATCTCTGCATAAAATATCAGAGAATATCCTGTTATATATAGGAAAATATTGGGAAAATGCCATGACTGGATGCTTAAAAGGCCTGTTAGTGACATTTGCCATCACCTGCTGCAGGTACAGTAATTATGTACATGACATAAAGAGACATAGGCCTTCTGGGAGGAGTCTTTTAGGGGACATCTGTAAGGGTCCCATCCTGTTCCCTCTCTTCTATCACTTAAGGTGTCTTTCCTATTTTCCTGTCTGGAAGAGAATTAAGCATATTCCCTATGGTCCTCCTTGCTGTTTACCTTCTTTAGGACTATGGATTTTAGTATTGTTTATCTTATATTACATGGCTAATATCCACTTATAAATGAGTATATACCATGTGTGTCTTTCTGCTTCTGGGATACTTCACTCAGGATGATCTTTTCTATTCCATCCATTTGCCTGCAAATTTCATGATTGCCTTGCTTTTAGTAGCTTAGTAGTATTCCATCATGTAAATGTACCACAATTTCTGTACCCATTCTTCAGTTGAGGGACATCTAAGTTGTTTCCAGATTCTGGCTATTAGGAATAAAGCTGCTACGAACATAGTTGAGCAGATGAAGAGACTCACAGCCAAACTTTGGACAGAACACAGAGAGTACTATGAAAGAAAGGGGGAATAGAAGGACACAGAGGAGACAGGAGCCCCACAAGGAGACCAACAAAGCCAAAACAAGCTGCTCCCAGAGGGGACTGCAGAGACTGATGCACCAACCAAGGACCATGCATAGAGAGGACCTAGACCCCCTGCTCAGATATAGCCCATAGACAGCCCAGTCTCCACGTGGGTTCCCTAGTAATGGGAGGAGAGACAGTCTCCAACATGAACTCAGTTGTCTGATCATTTCTTCCTGGTGGGGGAGACCTAGCCAGCCTACAGAGGAAGAGAATCCAGGCAGTCCTGATTGGACCTGATAGGCTAAGATCAGACACTAGAGGAGGACATCCCTTATCAGTGGACTAGAGGAGAGGGATAAGAGAGGAAGTGGGAAGGAGAGTGGGACTGGGAGGAGATGAGGGAGGAGACTATAACCGGGACACAAAGTAAATAAGTTGTAAAAAATAATAAAAATAGGGGTTGGAGAGATGGCTCAGAGATTAAGAGCAATGTCTGCTCTTCCGAAGGTCCTGAGTTCAATTCCCAGCAACCACATGGTGGCTCATAACCATCTATAATGATATCTGGTGCCCTCTTCTGGCATGCAGGTGTACATATAGACAGAACATTGTATACATAATAAATAAAATCTTTAAAAATAATAAATGAGAAAGACATAGACCTTTTCCTAAGGACTCTGTTAGTATAAAAAGATAGAAAATCTATCATTTGTGTTGTATTTAATTCAATGGTTTTCAACATTCCTAATGCTTTAGCCTTTTAATTCAGTTCCTCATGTTGTAGTAACACCCAAACATGAAATTATTTTGTTCCTACTTTCTATCTGTAACTAGCTATATCTGGTGTGCAGGACGGGCTATCTGCCATATGACACACAGAGGAGTCGTGACCCACAGGTTTAGAATCATTGGCTTAATGGAAGATTCATTTCAGTAACATCACCCAATGTAAAAACCTGAAATTGTTTGTGTGTTGATTGTATCATCACTACAATACAAATTAGTGCATTGCTTTTCAGCTATGTATAGTGGTCCATGTCCTTAATCCCAACACTTGGGAGACAGAAATGTGAATATCTGTTGAATTTGAAATAAGGATGTTTAAAGCCAACCAGGACTTCAATGACCCTGTCTCAAAACACACACACATCAAAATAAAGCATTTTTAATATCTGCATTAGAAACACCTAGGGAATGCTTCCCAAATTTAATGTATATTTGACCCACAGGAAGACTTTTATTTTTAAGATAAGGATTCAATACCCAGAATTCTTTCCTTCAAACAGTTTCTCAGACAAATATCTGTGTTGTGTTCTTATGCTCCTATTTGATGACCTTACTTGTTATCTTAGCTGTATTTTTTATTTACTAATATAAATATAAAAGACACATCAGAGAAGCCATTTCTAAGATTAGAGACTTTCCCAAAAGCTACTGCCTCCTCAGGTCTTATAAACAAGTTTTAGAATTAGTTGCTTAAACAGAATTGAATATCTCCTTTAAAGTTTGCCTATAAAAATTCTATAGAACTGGTATCATGCTGACATTCTCTTACATCCCAAAATGGAGCCTTCTCCTGAGAGCTCAGAGCTTTCTAGCCATCAGTGTCACTTAAGAACTATGACCTTCAAAGAGCTGTCAAGTTCTCTGCCTCTAGATTCAAATTTTAAGTAGATTCAGATCTTAGACAGAGGTTTAAGATGAATCCCGTTATGTTAGGAAAAGTAATGAAATTCCCCTTTCCAAGGAAGAGCCAAGCAGTGTCTTGAGCTCATCTAGAACTCACTCGTAAAACATAGTGCCCTCCTACCAATTTTCTTCTGGCCCCATCAGTTCTGTTCCAGAGCCACATTCCTAAAACTGAGCTGCCTTTTCTCCACATCCCATTTCTTTCAGAATAAGGTCACCTGGTCACTGTTTAAAATTCTTTATACAGTATAACACTTGTAACTACATTCGACCTTGGTGTCCTAATTCCTGATTTGGCCAGTGTCAAATCTTTTTGTTATTGACACTTACAAAGTTATTGAATATAGTGCAGCAACAGACTAGGATGATTTCCAATATGGCCTAACAGTGTTCTCTATTGGTCTCCTCTCTTTATAGTATAAACAAGTGGAACAATACATGTCATTCCACAAGCTACCAGCTGATATGCGCCAGAAGATTCATGATTACTATGAGCACCGGTACCAAGGCAAGATCTTCGATGAAGAAAATATTCTGAATGAACTTAATGATCCTCTGAGAGAGGTAAGATTTACTGCCCTTGATCTCCATGACACATTGTTATCATTTCTTTTAACTGTTCTAGACAGTCCTTTAGTCTGTGTTGTGTCTCTACACACAAGAATAATCAATCCTATATTTGAATACATAAAGTGCTGCCTTTGTTCATCATTTTTGATTCTCCCTTAAGAAACTTCTGATTATTTCAAAAGAAATATCAGAAAATTATTTCTTTGTGAGTCTTATTTTATTTTATGTATTCTTGGCTCTCAAAAGTACACTCTGCAGCTTTATTGTCTTTATGTTGTCAATGTTCTATTCTTTTATGCCGACCAACCTTGTTCACTTATTTAGTTTTAAGTTTTGATAATTTATCTTCCCTCTCATACATTGTATCTGCTCATCCTTGGCACCCAGATCGGAAGATCCTAGCCTGCTTCCAGTAAAGCAGCTCATGGCATCTCATTAAGATATTTCGAAACCAAAAAACATTCTTTGCCATGAATCTTCTTCTTATCCCTTCCCCAAAACTGGCCCCCTGCTACCAGTCACTTCACTCTTAAATCCAAAGTGGACAGTCTTCGTTCCTTCTTTGAATCCTGCTTTGCATTTGACTTCTCTTGTTACAAATTTCTTATACATTCTCCATGATGATTACATTATATTACAATCACCAAGTATTGACCACCACTTGCAGCCTTTGAAAGTCATCAAAGCTGCACCAGTAAATGAATCTTCCCTCCCTGTGCTGTCTGAAGTGCTTTTCTACATCACTAACAAGATGCAAACCCTGATTCCCCTCCTGATCCTCTTATTACTGAAGCACTGGATAGAATTTTGAGGCTTCATTCCCTGCCTCTGGACTTAGTTTCTTTTTCAATGTACTTCATCACACATTTTTTTTTTAGTCTATGCCTTTTAAATCAAATTCCTTTCATCAATCTCATTTTCTTAAAAGTTATATGATTCCCCCAAAGAAATAGAAGCAGTCATCAAAAGTCTCCCATCCAAAAAAAGCCCAGGACCAGATGGCTTCAGCGCAGAATTCTACCAGACCTTCAAAGAAGAGCTAACTCCAATTCTCTTCAAACTATTCCACAAAATAGAAACAGAAGGAACATTACCAAATTCATTCTATGAAGCCACAATTACCTTGGTACCTAAACCTCACAAAGACTCAACTAAGAAAGAGAATTTCAGGCCAATCTCCCTTATGAACATTGATGCAAAAATACTTAACAAAATACTTGCAAACCGGATCCAAGAACACATCAAAGATATTATCCACTATGACCAAGTAGGCTTCATCCCAGGTATGCAGGGGTGGTTCAATATACGGAAATCCATCAATGTGATCCACCATATTAACAAACTGAAAGAAAAAAACCACATGATAATCTCCCTAGATGCTGAAAAAGCATTTGACAAAATCCAACATCCATTCATGTTTAAAGTACTGGAGAGATCAGGGATACAAGGCACATATCTAAACATAGTAAAGGCGATATACAGCAAGCCTATAGCCAACATCAAACTGAACGGAGAGAAACTTAAAGCAATCCCTCTGAAATCAGGGACAAGACAAGGCTGCCCAATGTCTCCATATCTCTTCAACATAGTGCTGGAAGTCCTTGCTAGAGCAATAAGACAGTCGAAGGAGATCAAGGGGATACAGATGGGAAAAGAAGAAGTCAAATTATCACTATTTGCAGATGATATGATAGTATATATGAGTGACCCCAAAAACTCTACCAGGGAACTCCTACAGCTGATAAACACCTTCAGCAAAGTGGCCGGATATAAAATTAACTCAAAAAAATCAGTAGCACTCCTGTATACAAAAGACAAAAGGGCTGAGAAAGAAATTAGAGAAACAACACCATTCACAATAGCCACAAATGACATAAAGTACCTTGGCGTAACCCTAACCAAGCAAGTCAAAGACTTGTATGAAAAAAATTTCAAGTCTCTGAAGAAAGAATTAGAGGAAGATATGAGAAGATGGAAAGATCTCCCATGCTCATGGCTTGGCAGGATTAACATAGTAAAAATGGCCATCTTACCAAAAGCAATCTACAGATTTAATGCAATTCCCATCAAATTGCCAACACAATTCTTTACAGACCTGGAAAGAAAAATTCTCAACTTCCTATGGAATAACAAGAAACCGAGAATTGCTAAAACAATCCTCTACAATAAAAGATCTTCTGGAGGTATCTCCATCCCTGATCTCAAGCTGTACTATAGAGCAACAGTTATAAAAACTGCATGGTACTGGCATAGAAACAGAATGGTGGATCAATGGAACCGAACAGAAGACCCAGAAATAAACCCACACACTTACGGACACCTGATTTTTGACAAAGATGCCAAAACCATACAATGGAAAAAAGATAGCATCTTTAACAAATGGTGCTGGTCCAACTGGATGTCTACATGTAGAAAAATGCAAATAGATCCATACTTATCACCCTGCACAAAACTGAAGTCCAAGTGGATCAAAGACCTCAACATAAAACCAGACACATTAAATCGGCTAGAAAAAAAGTGGGGAATACCCTAGAACTCATTGGTACAGGAGAAAACTTCCTGAACAGAACACCAACAGCACAGGCTCTAAGAGCAACAATCAATAAATGGGACCTCATGAAATTGAAAAGCTTCTGTAAAGCAAAGGACACCGTCATCAAAACAAAGCGACTGCCTACAGATTGGGAAAGAATCATCACCAACCCTCTATCTGACAGAGGACTCATATCCAATATATATAAAGAACTAAACAAGCTGAAAAGCAACAAACCAAGTAATCCACTTAAAAAATGGGGAACAGAGCTAAAGAGAGAATTCTCTGCAGAGGAATATCGAATGGCAGAGAAGCACTTAAAGAAATGCTCAACCTCATTAGCCATTAGGGAAATGCAAATCAAAACAACCCTAAGATTTCACCTTACACCCATCAGAATGGCCAAGATGAAAATCTCAAGGGACAACACATGCTGGAGAGGTTGTGGAGAAAGGGGAACCCTTCTCCACTGCTGGTGGGAATGTAAACTGGTACAACCACTCTGGAAATCAATCTGGCGCTTTCTCAGACAACTAGGAATAGCGCTTCCTCAAGATCCAGCCATACCACTCCTAGGCATATACCCAAAAGAGGCGCAAGTACACAACAAGGACATTTGTTCAACCATGTTTGTAGCAGCTTTATTTGTAATAGCCAGAAGCTGGAAACAACCCAGATGCCCCTCAACTGAAGAATGGATGCAGAAACTGTGGTACATCTATACAATGGAGTATTACTCAGCAATGAAAAATAAGGAAATCATGAAATTTGCAGGTAAATGGTGGGACCTGGAAAGGATCATCCTGAGTGAGTTGACCCAGAAGCAAAAAGACACTCACGGTATATACTCACTCATATAAACATACAATATAGAATAAACCCACTAAAATCTGTACATCTAAACAAACTAAGCAAAAGAGAGGACCCTAACTAAAATGTTCAATCCCCATCCTGAAAGGCAAAGAGGATGGACATCAGAAGAAAACGAAAATAGGAAACAACCTCGGAACCCGCTACAGAGGGCCTCTGAAAGCCAGAAGAAAACAGAAAACAACCTTGAAACCTGCCACAGAGGGCCTCTGAAAGCTTCTGCAGTATAGACTGTCAAAGCAGATGCTGAGCCTGATGGCCAACTGATGGGCAGAGTGAATGGAATTTTATGTAAGAAGTGGGAAATAGTAAGAGCTGGAGGGAACGGGAACTCCACAAGCAGAGCAACAGAACAAGATAATTTGAACACAGGGAACTTCCCAGAGACTCATACTCCAACCAAGGACTATTTGTGGAGATGACCTGGAACCCCTGCACAGGTGTAGCCCATGACAGTTCAGTGTCCAAGTGGGTTCCATAGTAATGGGAAGAGGGACTGCCTCTGACA